TTGATGAATGGTGATGAAGCAGAATGTGGAGGCTTATTGCCTTCAACTATAGGTTATGCTGTCCTTTGAAATGAATTGATGTATGTCTGAGCAATTGCATTTCCACCTTCAAGGCATAATTAACAGCTTGAGATAAAGACCAAACTACATTTAACTCAAGTTTCTCCTTTATCACCTCCTTTAATCCTCCAATATATCTAGCCACTTGCTGATTGGTGGATTCATTTAAGCTGTTATGAGCACTTAAACGATAAAATTCCTCGGTATATTGGTTAACAAATCGGTGAGCTTGAATGCAATGTTGGTATTTTATATACAGTAGTTGTTTATAATTAGTTGGCAAATAATGACTTCGCAGCAATTATTTAATTCTTCGCCAATTGCACACCTGTCCACGGCCTTCCTGCTGGCGTGTTTGGAGAACTTACTGTCACAATGCACTAGCTTTTGCCTTTAGTCTACAAGCGACATATTTAACATGTTTCTCAGGATCAATTTCAATATACTCAAAGAAAGTTTCAACTGACCTCTCCCAATCTAAATAGTCCTCGATGTACAATTTACCATCAAAATATGGTATATCCAGTTTGACCCAAAACCCATCGTTTTGTTGTTCTACTTCCCTCGGACGCCTCCGGTGACGATTGACAATGTCTTCTTCTAAGTCTGAGACTTCCAAATGCCTAAATCGATCCAATTCCTCTTCCAAATCAGATACATCTGTTACTTGAGAACCCCTTTGGCGTTGTCCACCGGTTTTGATTCCCATCCTCACTGTCGGCAACATCGTATGGACGACTGTTCGAGCGGCTTGCATTCGATATAATTGATGGTTGAGCGCCCTCAATTCATGTCGCACTTCTTCGTATAAGTGCTGAACCTCTGACGCTAGCTTATTCGTCTGCTCTGTCAAGTTGTTATGCTCCGCCCAAAGAGTTTCAAGGATGTTGTCGATCGCGGGAGCCACCCGCCTACTGCTTTAAGCCATCTAGCTCTGATACCAATACTGATGTAGGAATCCTGTGATAGAAGCTTTAGCAAACATATAGAAATCACTAGAAGAGTAACTACTTGTGTTATTGTACTAGGAAAATAGAGTATTACTCATATAAAAAAAAATTGAGTTCTTCTCCTATCACGTTCAGCTAAGTAAATCCCTCCACAGGCAGGGGCGGAGGCAAGGTGGGGGCACGTGCCCCCACTGGCCGGTTGATATTTTTTTTTGGGTAACTATTTTATATACAAGCCAATGCAAAAAAAAAAAAAAGCTAAAAACCCTCCGGTTGAATCCATGAATCTTCTCTCTCTCTATTGCAAATAAAATAAAAAATCCACTCAATTGTATGTACAAAAAGACAAAAACCGTTTAACCAATAAAATTTTTTAGTGTTTTTTATCATTCTTTTTCAAAAAAATGTTTTGATTTTATTTTTAGGATTTTATTTTAACTTAAGAAAATTAAAAACAAATTAAAAGTAAAATTTTAGTTAAGTTAAAATAATTTTAAAATTTTAAATGAAAATTTTTCATACAGTTCATTTTATTTGTGTTCACTTGAGCAAATTTTAATTTTTTTCTATGAAAAAGATTTTCAATTTGTCTAATCATTTTTTATCATTTAATGTTTATCATTCAAATGATAAAGATATAGTGAGAAGAATATACTTATTAAGAGGACATTGTCAGCCTTAGGATTATTATAAATTCCTACGAACATAAAGAAATAAATTACATAGATTAAAAATCGTTGATGCCGGTTCCAAGATTTTTTAATATTTAATAAATTACATATATATTTATTTATTTTAGCCATGAAAAAATATATAACACAAAATTATTATTTTAGCCATGCAAAAAAATTGCACATTGACTGCTATGAGAAGGAGCATAACAAAAATCTAACCCTCTATTTGTCAGCTAAGACTTAGTCTGGGATGTCTTTCTTAATGCTTGTTAAAGTAGTTTTTTTAGTACATAAATTTTTATTTGTATACTATAAAGTTACTTTAAAAATGATAAGGATATATTTAATAACAATGACAATGTATTGATCGCACAATGGTTTCAAAAAATAAAGACTCGACGGGAGAAATTATAGATAATATGCATGTTTTTTAATTTTATCGTATATTTTATCTTTTTATAACGAAACAAACATTTAAAAAAAATAAAAACCGTCAATGTCGGTTCCAAGCCCGGATGAAAATGTTTAGGATATTTTTACATCAATGATTTGTGTCCCCACATCAAAAAAATTCTGGCTCCGCCTCTGGATACATCTCCAAAAACTATGAATATCAATCTAAACCCTAAACAGACACACCACTCAAATATATGCCATCAGTCATAAATGAGAAATATCAATTCACATAAAAAATCACTACCAAAAATTCAAATATTTTCCTCACCAAAAGAAGAACCAGCAAACCGAAACCAGCAAAAACTGCCACAGTAGTAACAAATCACCAAACCTCCCAAGATTCAAAAAAGAGCAACCAAGAAAACCAGAAAAACAATCGGTAGCCACCATAGAGAAAGTAAACCTCTTCATAACCAAGGAAACAATATTAGGGGATGCTATATAGCAGGAACCTCGCAAAAATATAAAAAAGAGAAACAAAAGCACAAATTAAACATTCCGAATATAAGGCAATCCAGATTTATCCAGATTAATCAGACCATTTAGCGAGTAGGAGAAGCTTATCACATTTAACTATTGAAAAACAATAAGATGACACCCAAATTTAGCAAACTAATCAGCAGTAGAATTAGCTTCTCTATGAATATGTGAAAAATAAAAATTTAAATTGTAGAGGGAATGCTTAATTTTTCTAATGAGATAGAAATTTTTAGGACTACCATTGACCACTTCATTAATAATATGAATAATAAGCAGAGCATCCACTTCAATCCAGACATTTAGAATCCCTAATCTATGACACAAATCTAAACAATAAGACAAGGCCATGAGCTCGGCAGTAACAACGTTACATAAATCTAAAGGACCAGCAAAAACAGCAATAACATTATCTAAGTCATTCCTAATGATGCCACCAACACTAGCATAATTGGCACCAACACACCCATCAGAATTTAATTTGCAATAAGGAATACCCACCTTACAATGATGTCGGTCCTATCAAGAACATTGTATATATGATTAATACCCAAATCAATAACCAAAGAAGAACAATTGTTGAAGTTTGTGGCCGAAATGAGGATAAAATTATATAACTTCAAAATTTTATCTCTAACTTTGGCAAAAATTCGACTGGCTTCCATTTTAAAATCATTGCACTTAGAGTCATTTCTACCCATCAAAAGGAACTATAAAATTAGGATAAACAATAGATTGAAAATATGGCCTTTGGAAAGAGTGCGCCCTTGTTAGCCAAGTCAAAAAAATAAATCCGGACTTTTTGGGCAATAAACACATTCACAGAAACATGATTGATAGTTTCGACATTAGAGCAACACTAACATTAGAAGGGACCATGAAAACTTTTTCTCTTTAATAATTCATCAACATGAACAAAAACATTATGATAGCGCAAAGCAAGATTCAAATATGATAAAGGGATGTTGTTATACTAAAGAGCAGAAATAATTAAAGATTTTTCATGATCTCTATGTTGCACCGATACGAATACGTCGATATGGATACGATACGACGGATACGGGACACGTCAATTCTTAAAAATATAGTATACGGGTACAACGCGGACACGACATTTTAATTTATAAATCATACATAAAAATTAAGAAAGCAGTCATAAAAACATTGAAGGTTGTGTTATAAGGAAAAATAATAGATTTTTAAGTCAAATTATTTAATAAAATATATTTGAACAAAATATATACAAAATTCATATAATAATAAAATAATTATCTTTTAATATAAGATAGAACTCAATTTATCTTTGAAGAAAATAAAATTTTAATATATTATACTTTTAATCAATTTTTGTTCATTTATTTTATGTATATATATATATAATAACAAACAAATAAATGTTGTGTTGCGGTATAATACTAAAAAAACTCATTATGCTTCAGACTCTTTATTTGAGCTAATTCAGGCTCAAAGTGGGTCACTTTTCGTATCGTTTGCATCGTCTACTGAGACATTCTATTCAACTATAAGTCTGCTAAAAGTGAAATTCAAATTATCCTAAATTAAATCTTGAAAATTTTCAATTTAAATATATTTTGAAGAAATTTTTGTCCGATCAAAATGATTTTTAGGATACTCAAATTTATTTTTTATGCTGAAATAAAATTACATTATCTTATACTTTTAATTAAATTTGTTTTAATGATCATTTAAGCCGTAATATTCTTATTCTTAGCATAATTATATATACTCGAGAGAATCTCCTAATATAATCAGCATAGTTCATATTCATGCATTTGATCTAACTTATGCGAACAGGAAACGCAGGAGGTTAACGTCGGCCCTATATATTGTGCATTAACAAACCCTCTGAATTGACTTCGGAAGAAGTGAAGAACATTCCAGCTTATATACAGGTCCATAACAATGCCCATTGGATCTTCAAGTGGATATTTTTTACACACAAAACATACATATATTTATCATAAAATTTTAGTTAATTTGTTCGCTCAGTTCAGAGAAAGTAATATTGTGTCCACATTGCCACGAAAGAAGCCAAGAAAATACTCTGGTTAGGTTATTTGACTTACCATTTGACCATAGCCAAGCACATAGTTTCACCTCCCTTAAATAAGCTTCCAATCTGTATTCCATCCTCTCATCCACATCTCTCTGCCTCCTCCCTATCAATACCCAATATCTCTTCAGTCTTCTCTTAATATCTTCCTAACATGCCAGAAATAAACCAGTTCAAAGGAGAGGTATACTCTCTCTCTCTCTCTCTCTCTCTCTCTCTCTCTCTCTCCCTCTCTCTCTCTCTCTCCACAGATCTCTCTCTCTATCTATTTCTGTTTTTTCTGTCTCTCTAAATAGCAGATGATGATGCATGTATGATTTACAGGTCTGGCCAAGAAAGGTGGCCAAAAAGCTGCTTGGGAAGCCATTTTGTAGTAACTCCGTAGCTGACTTCCCGAGCTCGGATGACTTCCAAGATCTTTGCTTCAGCACTGAAGAATTTGTCAGCTCAAATATTAGACCTTCTGGTGATCAACAAAAAGTAACTCGCAAGTACAAGTGAGTTTATTCTTAAATCATTTCTTATTTGTTTTTTTTATGAAGAAAAGAAGATAGATGACAAAGAACAAAACATAAAAACTATATTGTTTGTTCATATATATCTACACATGTTCTCTATTTGTTAAGCTTCTTTTAACTTTAGTCACAAAACTCTAAGAAATCATTTTAGCTTTTTTGCGCACATATTGAGATGTATTATGAAGTTAATTCATTAAATTGGTCCCCTATTTTTTTTCTGAAGGGCCAAAATAATTTTCCTAATTATATAAGTGTCAAAAGTTAAGGAACAAAATTGAAGACTTTGAAGTAATTATGGATCATTTTGATCATTCTCAAAGAATCAGAGATCATTTTGATCATTATCTCAAAATAGATTTAAAACATTAATATATTAGTAACACAATAATAGATCAATTGGAGAAATTATTTTGTACGGAAAGCGGACATAGAACGTCGTCTGGAGACCAACCAGAATGCGTCACATCAGCGGTACCGAGCAAAGGGGTGACGTGGCGCATTCGAGTTGGTCTCCGGACGACGTTCGGCGTCCGCACAGAATAATTAATCATATCAATTGATATATCAAGAACTAGATAATTAATATTATTATTTTTTTTGTGTTGAATTAGATTATTTGCAAGCACATGGAACGTTGCTGGCATCCCACCCTCTGATAATCTAGATTTGGAGGACTGGCTGGACACAAGAGACAACTCCTATGACATCTATGTTTTAGGGTATGTGCTTCTTTAACATTTATCTTCTTCTTCTTTTCTAATTTAGCAAAATAACATAACTATAAATATAAATAAATAACAGTTGAAAATTATTTATTGCAGATTTCAAGAGGTTGTTCCTCTTAATGCCAAGAATGTCCTCGGCCCAGAGAATAACACCATTTCCATGAAGTGGAATTCATTGATTAAGACAACATTAAACAAGCATTCGAACAGCTTTCATAGCATCATAAGCAAGCAGATGGTTGGGATCATGGTTTCTGTATGGGTCAGAAATGATCTCCTACCGTCCATTCGCCATCCAAGCGTTTCCTTTGTAGGCTGTGGGATCATGGGATTTCTAGGAAATAAGGTAATTATTACAAATTAGCTCCTTCTTAATTCATTTTTTAAAAATTTTATTTAGATTTGATTGAGTTACAGATTTAATATTTATTTATTTTGCTTGTGCAGGGATCAGTTTCGCTTAGTTTTTTACTACATGAAACCAGCTTCTGCATAGTCTGCTGTCATTTGGCTTCTGGAGGGAAGGAAGGAGATGAGATTAACAGAAATTCAAACGCCATGGAGATATTCTCTAGAACCAGATTCTCCTCAGGACCTTCTCTTGATTTGCCAAGAAAGATATACGATCATGAGTAAGTATTTTGATTAATTATCTTGATCAAAATAAGCTATGTATCAGAATTATTCATTAATTATATTATATAAGCAAGTTGACATTTAATTATATTCTTGCTAATTAAAATTTAATAAGTGATTAGAAATAGTCATGTTAGGCCGGCAACACCTTAATAATTTATTAATTATAACCGTTTTATATTTTAATGACGTGTGGTCCTTATTAAAAGAATTCAACTTGCCAATTTAATTAATAGACTTCCACATCATGAAAAATATATGAAGAAAAAGGGCGTTCACATCATTTTATGCGGCCCTTATAATTAAAATTTATTAATTATTCTTAATTTGTTGTTAATTAAGACCATAATAGTTTTATTTAAATAGTTAACGCGTCCAGTATTGCAGAATGATCCTTCTTATACTGAATCTATATATCAACCGCAATTTGTCTTACTATAAAATGAAGCACTTAAGACAAAAGAAGATGACGACTGTATCTCGTCATTACTATTCTGTGATATTAATTAAGTTTGCTAATTACTTAATTATTCATTTATGCAGGCGAATAATCTTGCTTGGTGACTTGAACTATAGAATTTCCTTACCAGATGAAGAGACGAGGTCATTAGTATTGCAGAAGGAATGGGATATCTTACTGAAGAAAGATCAGGTATTTCTCACGTTCAGAATTGATGAATTCCATCAAACTTGTTAATCAAATATTAATGATTAATTAGTGTACGTAATCAGACAATTTGATTAAATTAAATATTAATTAATTTGTTTATTTGGATTTGCAGTTGAGAGGAGAGATAATGGAGGGAAGAACATTTGGAGGTTGGAATGAGGGAGATATCAACTTCTCTCCAACATACAAATATTATCTGAATTCTGATGAGTATTATGGCATCGTCCAAGGAAGAAAAGGCGAGAAAAAGCGTGCGCCTGCATGGTAATTAATTAGCTTCTCATGTTAATTTAGTATGGTGAACAAATACTATACGAAGATAGATCATAATCCTGATTATTAAAGATGAAATTAGAAGTTAATAAGAGTTGTTTATATTTGTATGCAGGTGTGACCGCATACTTTCGTATGGGACTGGATTGAATCAAACTGGATATGATAGGTGTGAATCCAAGCACTCGGATCATAGACCTGTTCGTGCAACCTTCAATGTTGAAGTGGAGTTCTTAAAGCGTTCAAATTCATCATAGGAAGTGTTGTTTGTAGAAGGAGATGATAAAGAAGAAGACAATGGATGAGCATCTGCAAATGGCATCAATGGAGAAAGCCGTTTTTGGTGTGATATAAATTGCTGATGGGAGCAAATTAAGCTCCTGTTTATCTGGAGCAAACTGTTGATGACAGATTGGAGTTGTGTTAGGAATGATTGAATGCAGCTCCAGAAGCAGGCATGGCTCGAGATTTGCATGTTCTAAGACCTGATCACAAAAGATAGCTAATTATTTGTAAATGATAATATGCGATTAATTAAGGGAAGGATCAATGGGGGAGGGGAAGAGGGGCCTTTTGAATTTTTTGTAGCCTATTAAATTCAAATCGTCAATCCTTTTAATTGTATATTCATTTGAGTCATTAATGTAAAATATACAACATGCATGACTCTAAAATCTGATATGGTGTCAGAGCAATTGAATGATTCATCCTGCCGAGAGATTATTCTGTGCGGACATCGGACACAGCTTACAGTTCAGAGGCGAATCAGGTGCAGCCACGTCATCCAGTGCCGAGCAGGGTACCGAGCAGTACAGAGTAGAGGGTGACGTGGCGCATTTTCATTGGCTCTGGACGGCGTTCGGAGTCCGTACAAAATTATTCATCCTCCCCCTCTAAGCCAGTCACCACGATCATTTTCATCCTATGCATTCGGCATCCTCTGCAACTAAACTTTTGATTACCAGGAATATTATGATAAAAACTCAACTAGTTCTTGGATTAATCAATATCCTAGTAGGAATAGAACATATAAAAATCGACTTATTACTAGATTTTTTGCAAGTAAAACTTTTTTCTTCAATGGACGCTACATTTTCATGCGAATTACTAAAAAAAAATTTAGTCATTAATTCATCAGTAATCCAAAGAATGTATGTATAAATTCTGTTGCCCGGATCAAGCCCTCTCATTCATGATTTTCTTCCTCCATCTTTGCTCTCAGCTAGGGCATTCATCACTCCTCTTTAGAACCCCACGCCTCTAGTTTCAATTGTCTTGCTGACAACTTGAATTTTTTTTTTTTTGCAGAAAAACTCACGGAGGGCCTACGCATTAATATAAATAAAAAATTACAAGGTCCTTAGGAGGACCTTAAGCTCACTAATGTTCGAAAGAGCTACAAAAATGAATAAAGAAAGAAAACCTACAAGCCGAAAGTCCTCTACTACTCCAAAATACAAAATTGCCTAGATACAATCTAGTGCGGCAAGAACCCCGCGCCCAAAAAAGAAATATCCAAAAATAATAAATAAGAACAATCTTTCTGCAAAAAAAAAAAATCAACCACTCCACCGAAAACCTCCAACCTCCATACATGCATAAGGACGAAACTCCAACACAAGAAGGTAATGAAGCAAAGATCGAGGTTGGAAGTAACTAAGAAGATTAAATAAAAATAAACAATTATACCAAGAACCAAGCACCAACCACCAAAAACTAATTCACATAACCAATTATGTTAGTATATTGATCTATCCGAATGAGTGCAATCCAGAAACCAAGGGCCACATAATCGAGTAGGAAGACTATAACAAGCATAACTACAATAAATCCAGAACAAATTGCTCAAATTAAGAAAACCACCCAACGCCCAGGTGATATCACAACCCAATTAACATAATCTGTTGAATCCAACTTCTTGCAAGAGAGGAAGAACACTTCCTCTTCTTGAAGTTGAGAGAGGAGGAGGAGGGAGAGAGGAGAAGGGAAGAGGGAGGCAGCAAACGGAAGAAGCTTTATTTCTTAAACCATATCCATTACAACTCATAAAGCCTATATTTATAGGCACCTAATGCTATACACAAGCATCACATAAGGCTATACAAGCCTAAGAAACCTAAATCTAGGAACAAAAGCCTACAAATCTCCACCTTGGTCCTAGATTTACAAAACAAAGAAATCAATTGTTCTTAAAACAACAACCAAGAACATACAGTCGGGTAAACCAGGGGACGTAACCCCAAAAACTCGAGAGCCCAGCAGGTATCAACTCACCTGCAAATCAGCGTCCAGTTAAGGATCCAGATCTTACGGCACAAGTAGCTTCCAACAGGCAAACCTCTTGCCTTTCAGAGAGAAGATTTGAGGAGTGAAATCTTGAGATTTCTGTGTGAAGAAGGTGTAATCAAATGAGCAGCAAAACAACTCAGAGAGATGAACAACCAGAGAACCCCGATCAACAACACCACATATATCAAAATCCAAAAATCAACCAACACCATAGCCAACCCTAATTAACCAGTACTCATAACAACCACATAAAGTGAAACCAAGCCAATAAATAGCACCAACTAACACCCAACAAAAAAGAATGTAAGTGAGACCTAATTAACCAAACAAATAGAAACCCAGAAGATCAACGAAATAGCTCCCATAACACAAAACATGGAACCATAGACCCATTCAACCACAAAGACCACCATAAATGCAAATAAAAAAAAAATAAAAAAAAAAAACAGAGAACACCAACCAATACGACTATAAGGCAGCCCAAATTTGTCCAAATTAACCAAGCCTCTCACCAAAGGAGGTAAATTTGTAGCATCAAACTCCTGAAATACATCAAGATGACACTCAAATTTGGCCAACCAATCAGTATAAGAATTCCTTTTTTTATAAATATGAGAAATAAAATAATTAAGGACAGAGATGAATGCTTAATTCTTCTAATAATATAGAAATTTTGAGGATTACCAGGCACCTCATTTTGAATGATCTGAATTAAAACCAAAGCATCCACCTCAATTGACACATGTTCAATCTCCAATCTATGACAAATATCAAGCCCATGAGATAAACCCATCAACTCGGAAGTATTCACCTTACAAAGATTTAACGGACCAACAAAAGCAACTATAACACAACCATATTGATTACGAATAATATGACCCACACCCGCAAAAGAGGCCCCAATAGAACCATCAAAATTGAGTTTAACATAAGGAGGGGAAGGTTTTATCCACCTCACAATTCTCTAAATTTTATCCAACGGCTCACGCTCAATGGACATGCCCAATTATAAAGCCATATCTAAGCAATTGTTAAAGTTTTTTAATAGTAATAAGATTAACATAGTAAAATTGTAAAATTTTGTTTCTAACATTCACAATAATTTGGTTAGCATCCATCTTAATCTCATTATGTTTGGATTCATTTCTAGCCCTCCAACGATACCACATAATAAAGATCGGCATTAATTTGTAGATGTGGCCTTTAGTATTAGTCAACCAACACTTTAAAATGGATAAAATATCACCATTGAAATTAAGATTACCTTTATTAGCTAATGTTGACTAATGCAACTACAAAAAAAAATTATTATGGATTTGATAAGGATGATTCAGCTCAAATGTGAAGGGCATTGTGATCTTTGTTTGCTATGCAGTAATTGAAAAAGTGACAAATGAAGAGCATCAAATTCTTGCTAATGGAACGGATTTGTACAGAAATTATTTCTCTTCTATATGTGGTGGAGGACGGCAGCATGGCAAAGAACTCTCTTGCAACATATTTATGTAGATAAAATGACAAAGGAATTTGACCTTAAAATGTAGGTTGGTGTTGCCAACAACTATGATGTAAAAAAAAAAAAGGGTCATTGCAGATATTTTGGAATCTCTTAAGAAGGAGAGGCTTCATATGGAGACATTTGAGGCATTTCAAGATAGTTTCGGATTGAGATAATGTCCAAAAAAGTCCTTACTTGTGCTGGATGACATTTGGGAGAATGATAAAAATAAGATAAAAGCAAACGGGAGAAGGTGCTCGTCCTTTGGCTTACGGAAGTTTGGGAAGTAAAATACGGACTCAGTTACACTAATAGTTGCAAAGGTAATTAAAAGAGAGGAGAAAATGATTAAATTAGGGGGCCTAGAAGAAGACGAGTATTTACTACTTCTCAACTCTCATGCACTTGCTGATAAGAAGAATCCTAATGATTATAAAAGATTAAGATCCACTACTAGAGAGATGATTAAAACGCTTTTTGGATCTCCATTTGTTGCAAATGCCATCGGTGGTGTCGTGAATTCCTAGGCAATTTAAAAAAAATGATATAAAGGCCTGCGTTACGACGGAAACAAGCCCTCAAAAATGCTCAGACGACATCTGGTTGACAAACGGATAGCGCCATGGCGTCCGGAACGTTGTCGACATTCAGAAAATATATTTTATTTGATAAATTTGGATCATCTGAGATGATGGTGAATTTTTAGGTGATGCAAGTATGATATAAAGACCTGCGCTATGACGGAAATGAGGCCTCGAAAATGCCCAGACGGCATCCGATTGACAAACGGACAGCGCCATGGCGTCCGGAACGTCGTCGAAATTCAGAAAATATATTTTATTTGATAAATTTGGATCATCTGAGATGGTGGTGAATTTTTAGGTGATGCAAATATGATATAAAGGCCTGCGCTACGACGGAAATGAGGCCTCGAAAATGCCCAGATGACATCCGATTGATGAACGAACAGCGTCATTGCACCCGGAATATCCCCGACATTGAGAATACATATTTTATTTAATAAATTTGAATCGTCTGAAGTGTTGAAAAATTTCAAAGGCGGCTCAAATATGATGTAAATATATGCGCTATGAAAGAAGTGAAGCCTCGACGATGCTCAAATGACCTCCAATTGATGAACGGATAGCTCCATTGCATCCAGAACGTCGTCAACGTTAGAAGTATATATTTTACTTGATTAAATTGGATCGTTTGAGGTGGTGTCGAAAATGTCAAAGGGCGATTTAAATATGATGTGAATGCACACATTACGAGAGAAATTAGCCTCGTCGGTGACCGAGTGACGTCCGATAGACAAACGGACAGCACCATTGTGTCCGGAACGTTGTTGGCATTAGGAATAAACATTTTATTTGATTAAATTGAATCATTTGATATGGTGTCGTAAATTTCAAAGGCGGTTCAAATATGTTGCGAAAGCGCGCATTTTGAGGGGGAATTAGCTCGATG